CGACCGGCGTCGCACCAGGGGGGGACGGCGTCGTAGTAGTAGTAGTAGTAGTAGTAGTAGTAGTAGTAGTAGTAGTAGTGGTAGTAGTAGTAGTAGTAGTAGTAGTAGTCGTAGTCACTTCAACCCCTACACCCGAAACCCGAAGCCCCCGAACCGGAGATCTGCAGCAACAGAGCCGCGTCTTCGGGAAAGACAAAGAGTCTCAGTCGGAATCCTCGCGCGGTGGGGCCGGGGCCGAGGGCCGCCTCCTGGCAAGGGCATGGGGTTTATAGGGTCTTTGTGCCGCTTAGGGCTTGGAGTTTAGGGTTTAGGGTCTAGGATTTCTAGGGTCTTGTAGATTCTATAAGGGCTATTTAGGGTGTAGAGTTAAGTTTCAGGCTCCATGATAATGCTTCCATTCGAAAGGTTGCGCGATCATAAGGGTTTTGCTGGGTCTTGGAAGCTGTTTCTGGAGGATGTGCGTAAAGGTTTCTGCGGTTTCTATAAGGGTTACTACTAAGTTACTCATCGGGTTTTTCAAGGTTCAAGGTTGGTGCCCTTAATTGCGACCACGTGCCTGCAAGAATGACGATTACGATCATTGCCCACCAGCATGACACCACGCCCTCAAAAACAGAATCCTAGACCCCCAAGCCCTCAAACCCCAAAGCACAAAGTTGAACCCACGAAGATCCTGTCAACCATAAAACTTCAAAGCCTCACACCCTTGACCCTTTTAAATCCCCAAAATGCCATTAGAGCCTCAGGCCCTAGACCCTATCATGATGCAAACCTCCTAAACTCTAAAGCGGCATTTTGCTCTGGCCCCTGGTATGCCTTGGAGAGCCGCTGGGCGGCTGCATATGCTTCTCCAGTACTGCCTCGGGATTAGGGTTTAGGGTTTAGGGTTTAGGGTTGAGGGTCGGGAGGAACGAAAGGGTTTGAGGATTCTATCAAGGTTCTAGTCTATACAGATTTTAGCCGCTAGCTCCCGCTGCCGCTACTGCTGCCACTACTACTACTACTACTACTACTACTACTACTATTTCTTACTTCTGAAAACTGAGGAAAGCTTCACTGGAAAATTTCGATCAGCGACACGCCGTCGTGGAACCCTTTCGCAACGGACCATCGGTGCGGATGCTGTTCCAGCCACGCTCGACAATGACCAGTTAAGGGTTGGGGGTTTATGGTTTCTGTCTCAGGATCCAGAGTTCCGTTTTTTGTTTAAGGGCCTTTTTCCACATCATGATCTGTGGAGTTCCGGTGTTTAGGGTTTAGAGCTTCAGCACAAATCTACCATAAGCCTTGCAACCGCTCCGGACGCGAAACGCTCATGTCTTGAAACCTACAGATGATGATACTTACGACTGTTTTGGCCTTAGCCCCTATGTAGCACCCCATAGCAGGAACTAGGTCCACAAAACCTCCGAAGCCCGCGGGAACCTGAACCTCTGCGCAAGAAACCATAAACACAGCCTTAAACCCCTAAACCTTAGCCCCTATAAGCCCTAAACCCTCAACCCTGAACCCTAAACCGTAGACCCGAACCCCAAAGCCCTAAAGCCCAAACCCAAAATCTCAAACTCTTAAACCCTAAACCCTACCGAAAGTTCAGGCCTTGTAAGCCGGATGCTCAGAGTCTGCCACGCAAGGGCCGCGGAGGAGGAAAGTGTGTCTCCTGAGCTTGCTAACTAGGATTTAGGATTGGGGTGTAGGGCTCAGGAAGTGTAGGATCTAGGATTGGGGTGTAGGGCTTAGGGGATTTTAGGTGTAGGGTTTAGCGTTTAGGATTTAGGGTTGGCGTGTAGGGTTTGGGGTTTAGGATTTAGTGTCAAGGGTTTAGGATTTAAGGCTTAGGGTTGGCCGCTGCGCTCAAGAACTTATGTTTCGGGTCCATTAGGGTTAAGGGTTTAGGGTTTAGGGTTTAGGTGCGTTTTAGAGCTTTGGCTGTTTGCTCTGAAGGCTTTTGGATCTCTGCTGTTTCTTACTTCTAATTGAAGTGGGTCCTGAGTCCTTCCTCGGCGTTCCTGCCATACTAAGTACGGCTACCCTTGTTAGTCTTGTCACGGAACTTTCCGCCGCTGTTGCCATGGAACACGCTGCTTTGCCGGCGTATGGCACGGGTAACTGACCGCTCGCTACCTGGTACAGCTCTACATCCTACATAACCTTATGGACACGACACTGTTAGAGTAACCATACATTAGCATTGTGTTGAGCATAGATTTGTGTTCATCTACGCCTGTATAGAACATGTACGTGTGTAAAAATGTATGTATGTATGCATGCATGCGTACATACTATATATAGCAAAATACACACACATATTCATTTATTCATGTATCTATTGATGTAGTCTTTTATCTACATGTATGTACAGACACAGAGAGAGAGAGAGAGAGACAGAGAGAAAGCCCAACATCACGTGCAGGCCAGGGGCTGCGAGCCATCCTCAGAAGACTCCGACATCTGGACCACCTCCGAGGTTGATGAAGAAGGAACCCAGTCGATTCTTGTCATAACCCGTCGTAGCCCTAAATCCTAAACCCTAAACCCTAAATCATCCTAAACCCTAAAACCTAAATCCTAAACCCTAAATCCTAAACCCCTTTGTTCGCTTTGGGCTCAGTTTTAGGTGCCGTGAAGGGCCTAGGCCTGTTCACCCCAAAGCGCTAAAGCACTCAAGCCGAAACACACCCGACTCAGTGCCCTGGGGTTAAATAGGGTTTAGGGTACATCCTCCCCAAACGAGAACCAAAATCTAAAGACACACACACAAGCACACAAGCACACAAGCACACAAGCACACAAGCACACACAGACACAGACAAGAAGAAGGAGACTGTGACTGATAGTCGCTATACCCCAAACCCTAAACTCGGCAGCCTAAAGCCCATCCACCAAACCCCAAACCGAGAAGCCGAAAGAACAGGCGCGATCCGGGGGCCTTGAAACCTTCGCCTTCAAGGGAGTTGAGTGCTCTCGCCGCGTGCACTCGAGTGACAGCGTCCTCTTCCCGCTGTCTAACCATTGGGGGAAAGGGAGTTAAAGGGTTTAGGAATGAGAGTTTTGGTTTTCCTTGGTGTTTTACAGGGGTTGCTTCAGGGTTTTTGGGCTTTAGGGTTTCAGGGTTTAGTTTAGGGCTTTGGTTTGGGGGCATTGGGATTGAGGGTTGTGGAGTTAAGGTTTGGCGATGGCGGGCTTTTGGCTTTCCGGCATGTTGGGCTTAGGGCTGAGTAATGATGCCCCTGCTAGCGCAGGTCCTTTCAAGGATTTAATATAGGGGCCTTGATAATTAGAATAGAGTTTTTTGGGGTATTTTATACTATAATTATAAGAAGGACCCCCAAAATAGTATGGGTAATTATTTAGGCCCCTACAGTAATTAGGCGTTTCAGAATCTCAGAGCACTTTGCTGGTTTAGCAGGTGGCGCTCAGGGTCGCTTCAGCCTTTCTCATCTTTCCTCGGCTCCACGGGATTTCAGCCCAAACCGATTTCACAATCCTAATATGGGAGTTTCCGAAAATAAGGGTACCTTATTCTGGGGTCCTTATAATAAGGATCCTACTATTTAGGGTACTATATTCGGGTCCCCTAATTTCGGAAACCCCCATGTAGGGCCCTCCTTAGAATTTTCATTGGGTCTTGGGGCCCATTATACTACAATTATAAGAAGGAACCCCCCAAAGTAGTATAGGTAATTTTTGAATCCCCACATTAAGCCTGATAGGAGCCTGAAAGAAGGGTACGGAAAAGCCTTGGATGTGATTTTTGCCGTCCTGGCCAGTGAGTTTCCAGCCTTCGACGCTGCTGATGCCAAACCTCGGCTTTCGTGCGGTGCTTCGGCGTTTTCGGGTTTAGGGCTTAGGGTTTAAACTTCGGGTTGAGGGTTTAGGGTGGGTTTCGGGCTGTGGGTTTGGGGTTGGCTTTGCACGAGTCTTGGCAGCTTTGGATCATGAAACCCCACTTGAGAACAGCGAAGATGAGGTTGCTGTACTACACAGCTCGCGCGAACCTTCGGATTTCTCCGTCTCTCGCAGCATAAAACCCGATGAAACCCTAAACCCCAAACCAACAGCCCTAACCCGAACTCCAAAAACTCTCGGTAACTGTAGCCCAGCAGCCCTCAACTTTTGAAGTCCCCAATCAACTGCAGTGTTTCTGATATTTGCTGAATCATTCGGTTTTGGCCAAGCACCCCTGAGTCTACCCCGGCAGTTCCTACACGAACCTGTACATGCCAAGACGCATCGAGCTAGCAGATTTTCGAGTTTAAGGCGTTACAGCTCTGGGGCTTTAGGGCTTTAGAGTGAAGGGCGCGGGGCCTTAGGCTTTAGAGTTTTTTGTTTTGGGGTTGGGGGCTGCCAGGCATTAGAGTTCTTGGGGCTTTGGATCTCAAGGTTCGGGAAAGCTGGAGATCAAGAGACTCCCAGAGCGAAGGGGTTAGCCGGCACTCGCGCTTGCTGCCGTTGACAGAGCACTGCAGCATTGCCAGCGACATGGCTCTGGAGAGAAGTCTTAGGGCTTAACCATGTCGTGTTCCTAAGATGTTACAATGCGACCTTCGTGAGTACAGCGCCCGCGGTAGTCCAATCGCATCACCAAAACGCTGAACTAAGTCTCAACCCTAAACCCTAAGCCCTAAGCCCTAAACCCTGAACCCTAAACCCTAAAATGTTGGCACCGCCGTGAAAGCTTCCGAGATAAGAGCCGGTGATGCCAGGCGAAGCGCTATGGGCCATGATGCCACAAGTTGAAAAGGGTTTAGGGTTTAGGGTTTAGGGCGAAATATTTTTGGCTCCTGAACCTAAAACCCTAAACCTTTGGACCCGAAGCCCTTGAAATCTGAACCGTTAAGCAATAAATCTGTGTACCCGATGCCTTTCTACCCGATAAAGCTTAAACTTGAAACTCTTCAAGCCAAAACCGTCGAGCTTTCTTTAAAGCCTAACCCCAAACCCCAAACCCGAAACC